CTAACTCTTGACATCCAATAAAACTCATTTCTTATCTCTATATTTTAATGTAAACATTAAAGACTGTATTGTCACATCTCTAGAGAATCCAATGAGCTCCTCGCTCTCATCGCATCCAGCTGTCAGCAGGCCCAGTGCTGGGGAAGAGCACAGCCTGTTGAGTTATTTCGAGCCTCCAGAGACAGCTCCCCTCCACACTTACTGCACTCCTAAGGCTCTCTGTGACCGCCAATCTGACCCACCCTCAACAGCTTACTAGTGGGCTAGATGAACGCGCCTCTTTAAAAATTTTACAAACGTAGTTTTCCTGACAACATTTAAGAGGTTGTTGATATCATCGCTAAGCCTTGAGAGGAAACTGAAGACTTCCAAAACAAAAATAAGCATAGACAATAAATACTATCAAAATGAGAATCCTTGTACATACGAGGTAATGAAAGGCTAGGATCCTACTCCTGCCTGCTTAACACTGAGGACAGTGTTTCTGGCAGAGGTGAGTGGGTATGGAAAAATAAAAGAAGAAAAACCTCAAGGTGACCACCAGAGATTACAGAATAAATTAGATTATTTTAGGCTGATAAAATATGAATTATAAGCCATGAGTGGTGGCACACACCTTTAATCATAGCAGTGGGAAGGCAGAAGCAAGCAGATCCCTGTGACTTCAAGGTCAGGGGATCTAGAAATCCAAGTTCCAAGACAGCCAGGATACACAGAGAGATCAGACCCTATCTCAAAAAACAAAAACAGGGCTGGAGAGATGGCTCAGTGGTTAAGAGCATTGCCTGCTCTTCCAAAGGTCCTGAGTTCAATTCCCAGCAACCACATGGTGGCTCACAACCATCTGCAATGAGGTCTGTCTGGTGCCCTCTTCTGGCCTACAGACATACACACAGAATATTGTATACATAATAAATAAAAAAATTTAAAAAAAAAGACAAACGCACAAGCGCGCGCACACACACACACGTTATAGTTTAAAAGGAGTCTAGGAAATATTTCCTAGCATTCGACAAGAAAATCCAATTACATATATTTTTTAATTGTATGTGTTCGTGATGTGTATGGTATGCATTCACATGCCAGGGTGCCCAACTGGGGTCAGAGGACAACTGTGTGGAGCCAGTTCTTTCCTCCAACTCAACAGAGGTCCCGGGGATCAAACAGGTCAAGTCGCCAGGCTTGCAAGCAAGCATCCAAAACCACTGAACCATCTCCCCAGCCCTTGTTCTGTATCTTAATTCCCCCAATCCACCAAATAAAATCTGAGGCCTTGTACTCCTTTCCTTTTCTGCTCAGTCAATTTCTTTTTAAGCAAGTTTAGAATTTAAGTTACAAGCTTTTGACATCACAAGGAATGGCCGACCCTCCATCCTAATCCATTACTGACTGGAAACGGACTCAGCTGAGCATTGGCAACTCTTGCTCACCGGTGTATTCCAATATAGGAAGTAAGTCCACTTAAAGAGACTGGTTCTTTAGGGGCTGGAGAGATGGCTCAGAGGTTAAGAGAACTGGCTTCACTTCCAAAGGTCCTGAGTTCAATTCCCAGCAACCACATGGTGGCTCACAACCATCTGTAATGAAATATGCTGCCCTCTTCTGGCCTGTAGGGACATATGCAGGCAGACCACTATATACTTAATAAATAAATAAATCTTAAAAAAAAAAAAAAAAAAAAAAAAAAAAAAAAAAGAGACTGGTTCTTTAAAGAAGAAACAGAACCAGGCTCAGATTTGCTGATACAACTCTTGTTCACCGGTGAATTCTAATATAGGAAGTAAGTCCACTTAAAGAGTGTGGTTCTTTAAAGAAGAAACAGAACCAGGCTCAGATTTGCTGAAACAATTATTTGGAGGAGTGTGGTAGGTGCATAAAACAAAAACTATCCTATGGCTATTAATTATCCTTGTAAAGTCATGAAAATTCATGATCAAGAATGGAACTAAACATTTAAAGTGAAGTCCGGAGGCACTTTTTACCATTTCAGAATAATGTGATTGGTCTAGCATTTCCTTCTACTGCTTAAGAAAACCCAATCTGAACCAGGCAGTGGTGGCGCACACCTTTAATTCCAGCACTCGGGAAGCAGAAGCAGACAGATCTCTGTGAGTTCGAGGTCAACCTGGTTTACAAGAGCTAGTTCCAGGACAGGTTCCAAATCTACAGAGAAACCCTGTCTCAAAAGACCACAAAAAAGAAGAAGAAGAAGAAGAAGAAGAAGAAGAAGAAGAAGAAGAAGAAGAAGAAGAAGAAGAAAAGAAAGAAAGAAAAAGAAAACAGAAAAACCAATCTGAAGAATAGTATTGAGAGTGCATATGGCACAGCATGCAGGGCATATCTCAGGAGACAGGGCAGGAAGGCTGTACCAAGTTCAAAGCCTGGAAAGGGTACCAGAGAGACTCGCAAAATAAAATAGTATTAAATATCAAAAAAAAACTTGTCAAAAACAATTACAGTATCAGATTATAATGGCATAACGAAATCATTACAATACAAAAATAACTTGCTTTTCTCCACATGGGTTGTCATACTGGGCTCAGGCTGGCCTTAGACCCACAACCTCGGCCCAGGCTCTGGAGTAGCCCCATTACACCTACACTCCAAGCTCCAATCCTCTTTCCAGTGTCACAGTCAGTAACATCTCTGTCCTGTGAATGGAATCCTCCTCGAATCCTTAACCTGTTTACATTTATTCCTTACTCAAATTGTTCTACATGAATTAATTCAATTAACACAGAATTTGTCATCAGTTTCACAATGGCACTTGTCAGCCTGCTCTGGCACTCTATACACTAAATACCCGAATGTATCCACTTATGCAAATCCTGCACTGTTGTTTTTATTTCTTAAAGTTTCAGCTTCATGCCAAAAACGCCAATCATTTTTTGGGTTTTTTGTTTTGTTTTGTCTTGTTTTGTCCTTTGGGACAGTGTCTCTCTATGTAGCTCTGGATGGCCTGAAACTTGATATGTAAACCAGGCTGGCCTCAAACTCACAGATCTCCCTGCCTCTGCCCCAATCCCCAGTGCTGGGATAAAATGTGTGCCCACTATGCCTAACCCCAAAGTTACCTAGAAATTTCAAACAAATTCTCCTTTTGTGCATTCAGCTTAAGCGATCATATATTTTAGTGTACAATTGGTGCTTTATCTGGTTACGATGGCATAATAGATGGTTAATATGATTCATTACAGTATCTACTCCAAAATGTCACTGTATTTAGTACTTTTAGTTATTTTACCTCAAAAAGAAACCTCAGGTCTAGAGAGACGACAGTGCTGCCTGCTCTTCCAGAAGACCCAGGGTAAAGTCCCTACTCACATAGCAGCTCACAACTATCTGGGATGTGTGCATCCATCAGTCCCATGGTATCTAATGGCCACTTCTAGCCTCTGCAGACACCAGGTACACATGGTGCACAAACATACATGCAGGCAAAACACTGCTACACATACAATTCAATAAAGTAATAATGGAAGCTACCCCTGAACTTCTGCCTTCAGCCTGGAAAACTCGCACGCAGAAACAAGCGCCACCTTCCGGAGCAAGACGCCACTGCAGACGGCAGTGCTGAAGTCAGACCCAGTGATGCACACTCCACCTGAGTTTTGCTGGCACAGCATATTGTTCAGTAAGCAAGGCAGCTTCTAATCTCTAAGCTCAATTTTTTAAAAAAAAAATGAAACTCAAGAACAAAGTGAGCCTTCTAAGCTAGCAGTACTTAGAAGACACCACTGGGCATGGCAAATGTTTAAAAGATTTCCAGCCAGTGAGAAGGATGTAAAAGAAGGATGTAAGAGCACCAAAGAACTGAGTTCCCTCCCTAGGACCCACATGGTGGAAGGAGAGAACTGAGTCCCACAAGCTGTCCTCTGACCTACACACACACACACACACACACAGAGAGAGAGAGAGAGAGAGAGAGAGAGAAGAAATTTCACTAGGATTGCAAACCAATAATAAGATTTTTTTTAAAACATTAACATTGGGCTGGAGAGATAGCTCAGTGGTTAAGAGCATTGCTTGCTCTTCCAAAGGTCCTGAGTTCAATTCCCAGCGACCACATGGTGGCTCACAACCATCTGTAATGGGGTCTGGTGCCCTCTTCTGGCCTGCAGGCATACAGACAGACAGAATATTGCATACATAATAAATAAATAAATAAATAAATATTTTTTGGAAAACCATTAACATATTATGATAAATTTTTATTACTATGTAAGTCACTAAAATTATAAAGGGAAAATATTTTCTTCATAGTCATAGAAAAAAAGGATTTCTCTAAGAATTACACACACTAATTCCCAACTACATCATATAGCTAACAAAATACAAACTGATGGAAACACCAAGATGCCGAAGACAGAAAAGGGGGAGGAACATGACAAGCAAAGATGCTTCAAATTGAAGAGAAAAAAAAACACTGCTCCAGCAATGCTGAGTCAAAGGAGGGCTCAACCGGGTATAGAGGGTAAACACTATCCTTATGGTTTTTAATTATAAAATATTGGTCGTGTACTAACCTACTAACTCTATTTGTAAATAATAACTGAATACCTGTAGTCCCAGAAAAATACATAAAACTACTTTTATGACTGTTAAATATCAAAGACCTATAATGTAGGACTCTAATCTATTTATATAAAATGTCTTAAACAAAGATTTTACACCAGTTTCCAACCTACGCAAAACAACAATTTAAAACAGGTACTTCGGCTTAAGATTCCCAGCAAGAGTAATACTGAAGCTTACAAAATGAGTTCTGGGGCTAGAGAAACGGCTCAGCAGTTAAGAGCACTGGATGCTGGTCCTAAGGACCTGGGTTGGAGTCACAACCACCTGTAACTCCAGTTTCAGGGGAATCTAATGCCCTCTTCTGGCCACCATGGGCACTGCACACACAGTGCAGATACATATGCAGGTAAAATGTCCTTACACATAAAATAGATAATTTAAAAATAAGAGTTATAGGAAAAAAACACTTTTGTGACGTCTACCTGTTTCCGAATTCTCAGTCTCAACTTCTTGTTCTTCCGCCACATCCTGCATCATGTAAGTCTCATCGTCATACACCAGAACCTGGGCAGCGTAGCCCTGCTCTAATCTTGCACTGGGCACTGGCTCCACAATCACTGCTGGAAATTCAGGGACCTTGTCACCTCCCTACAAAAGCAAATTTAGAGAACAATCAAGCTTTTCATTGGAAAATTCTGGATTTTGCTCTGAATCACTGGGTTCACAAAATCCCCTTCAGTCCACAGAGTGTCTTTCATGTGTCACATTCAAGGACGCAGAAAACAAGGAAAAGGAGAGGTTGGATGCAATAATCGCTAAGTCTTAAAGAGACAGGGAGTAGCACGCGTACTTCACTCCTTTGGGAAAGCTCCTAAAGCAAAGGTGAGATTGTGCTACTTTACACTACGGAAGACGGAACATGAGCAGCACACCCTGAGAAGAATAAAAGTGTATGAAGAGGTATCAGATGGGTCAGGAGACCCCAGAGAACCAAACCACAGCCTAACAGCAAATACACGAGGTGACCAAGCAGCAGCACACTGCACAGGGGCAAGGCCACAGACAGCGCCAGACACGTTTGAGAAGGAAGAGTTCAAACAAAAGAGCCTCCAGAGAAGCTGAAAAAAGGACGTGAGTCAATCAAAGTGTGAAATGTGTGTCAGACAAGAAGCTCTTCTTTTCTTTTATTGTAGTACTGGAAAAAAAAAAACCTCACAGTCTTGGGCCATTAAAAATAAACAAATACTTGCTGGACAGTAGTGGTGCACACCTTTAATCCCAGCACTGGGGAGGCAGAGAGGTAGGCGGATTTCTGAGTTCGAGGCCAGCCTGATCTACATAGCAAGTTCCAGGACAGCCAGAGCTGTTACAGAGAAACCGTCTCAAAAGCAAACAAACAAAACCCCACTAACTTAAGGAAGAGTTCCAGGCACAAGACAGAGGGTCCCTGACACAAAGGAAGAGAACAGGAATTTCAGGAAGACAGGGCTGACGATCTCCAGAATGTCAGCTGTGCCTGGACAGCTGATCAGCTTTGCACCAATGTGTGTGGTTACTTTGACTGGCAACTTGACTGGATTGGGAGACATGTGAAAGACCATTAGTAAGGGCTGGAGAGATGGCTCAGAGGCTGCTCTTTCAGAGGTCTTGAGTTCAATTCCCCAAAACCATAGGATGGCTCACAGCGCTCACAGCCATCTACAGTGGGATCTGATGCCTCTCTGCTGCAAAGGTGTATGTGCAGCCAGAGCGCGCATATGGACAGAAATATTTTAAAGAACTTGTTAAAAAATAGATGGATGGCGTCTTGAGCCTAGGCAGTCTGGATGCTCACCTTACTAGACCTGGATGGAGGTGGGAGGTCCTTGAACTTCCCACAGGGCAGGGAACCCTGATTGCTCTTTGGGCTGACGAGGGAGGGGGACTTGATGGGGGACGGGGAGGGAAATGGGAGGCGGTGGTGGGGAGGAGGCAGAAATCTTTAATGAATGAATGAATGAATGAATGAATGAATAAAAAAATTAGATGGATGGATGGACGGACGGACAGACGGACGTGAACAGACTACGGAAGAACTGGATGTAGGCCTAGCAGAGGAAGAGTGTCACTGGAGGTACGCCCTTGAATAGTTAGTTATACCTCTTGGGCCCGGCTCCTGTCTGAAACTCCTTTGCTTCCTGGCCACCAAGAGACAGACAGCTTTGCTCTGTAGCACTTTGCCACCATAACACTGTGCCTCTCCACAGGATGCTACTGGGAATGACTACAAAGGCTCACCGTGTAAAATGTACAGGAACTGACTGTATATGTGCATCTCCCATGACAGGATGAGCTGTTAACACCAGTATTAACAGTGATGTCCTCCTGAGGACACAACACCAGGGGAGGCCTGTTCCAAACTGTTATTTATCCACATCTGCCTCGTCTTGATACTGTACTCCTGGCCCTGGAGCCTGAGTGAGTGATCAGCTCCTCTGTGCTGAGAAAAATCACCATAAGCAGACACACAGAAACACCAGAACACAACCCAATAACTGACCGTGTATCTGCAGGGCAAGCAGGCAACAGTGGGTCCATGCTGAAGCACTTCCCCAAAGCTCAGGATGACCCAATGACCTGAGCAGCTCTATAAACAATTCAGCTGCTTCTCTGAGAAGCCCTGTGATGATGTAACTCATCCTGAAACCGAGTCATAGTCTACAAAATAAAGAACACACTGCTTACGTGTATTTTCATAAATGATAAAACTATAAAGGAAGGTGTGAACGTGACAAGGTCTGTGGGGATGACACCACTGAAGACAGAGATGGGATACAGGACAGACACAGGAGGTCAAATCATCTTCAGCTACACATCACATTCAAGCCCACCCGGGGCTACCTGAGACCCTACCTCAAAAACAAACAAACATCACATCAAATTCAAGACGACCCGGGCTACCTGAGACCCTACCTCAAAAACAAACAAACAAATAAACATGCGAGTGGGTGAAAGAAATGCCAGCAATTACTCCACTTCAGCCCGAATGGTAAGTAATACGGCGTACATTTTTGTTTATTTGTTTCTTGTTTTTAGAAACACGGTCTCTATGTGTAGTCCTGGCTGTCCTAGAACTCTCGCTGTAAACCAGGCCAACTTCAAGCTCAAAAACCCACCCGCCTTTGCCTCCTGAGTGTTGGGAATAAAGGCGTGCGCCACCACCACCCAGTTTATTAGTTATTCTTAAGATATGTATGTACTTTATATGTGCTTCATTGTCCATAAAACATTTCACCAAAGCTTTAATTTGCAAAATACACTGTAAAAAATTTCTTTGGCTAACAATTTCTCTATTTCAGATAAGACAAAGAATCAGCTTTTCAACATCAAGGTGTGGGAGGAGACGGAGAGAATGGCTGCTCCACAGCTGGGCAAGCTGGGGGGGGGGGGAGACAGAGAGAATGGCTGCTCCACAGCTGGGCAAGCTGGGGGGGGGGGGACAGAGAATGGCTGCTCCACAGCTGGGCAAGCAGGGGGGGAGGGGGAGACAGAGAATGGCTGCTCCACAGCTGGGCAAGCTGGGGGGGGGGGGGAGACGGAGAGAATGGCTGCTCCACAGCTGGGCAAGCTGGGGGGGGGGGGGGGGACAGAGAATGGCTGCTCCACAGCTGGGCAAGCTGGGGGGGGGGGGGAGACGGAGAGAATGGCTGCTCCACAGCTGGGCAAGCAGGCAGCTGCATCTTCTGCACGTCCACCTGCACAGCCACAGTGCATCCCTTTATCTGTGAAGCAACTATGGAGTTCTTTACTCACCAAAACTGAAGAGAGCTAAGCAGCACTGAGCTGACGCTGACCCACATACTGGTTAATTATGCAGTGAAGTTATAAATTACTTCCTTCCTCTAAATTTTTACAATATTTTTTCATTCGGGAAACAGTCTCACTAAGTTGCCCAGGCTAGCCTCAAACTCCCGGACTTGAGAAATCCAGACAGTTAGGTCTAGAAGTACGTCATGGTCCCAAATACACTGTATTTTAGAAGTAAATCTAGCACCAGGTGCTTTCTACTGTAAGCGCCCCATCAACACACCCAGAGAAAAGCAAAGGGTTTGTATCGTCATAGCATGAAAATACTCCATAATGTGAAATCCCTCTACGGACACTCTCTTCCCCACCAGTCAGGATCTAGCTCCGCCCTCTCAAATCTCACCTATCTTACTATTTAATAACAGTCCAGCAGGGTGTAGTGACATGCACCTTTAATTACAGAACTCGAACTTCGAACTCGTGGCAAAGGTAGCGGATCTCTGTGAGTTCAAGGTCAGCTTGGTCTACAGAGTGAGTTCCAGGACAGCCAGGGCCACACAGAAAAATCCTGTCTTCAAAAACCAAAACCAAAATATAAAAAGCTAAGTTTTAACTGATCTTTACTATCTATAGCTCTCAAAAAGATACTCTGGTGAGGCGCGCTGGTGCACACTATCAATTCCAGCACTCAGACGGCAGAGACGGCAGGTCTCTCGAAGCTCCAGGCCAGCCTGGTCTACATAGTGAGACCCAGACTAAAACAAAAACTCTTAAATCCCTAACTCATCTCAAGTCCACCTCCTCACCAAAAGTATTTTCAGAATATCAACAATGAACAACTTTTTGTTTGTTCTCATCATTCTGTGCTGGCCCTCTGCACCATGGCCACCCTTCGGCAAAGCTATGTCCTATCTCAAGGCCTATAAGCAGGCTGCTCTGCCTATAAAAATCAACTTGCCCCACCCTTTAACAACTTTTTCCTTTAATTAATTACCTGTCTCCTCTGACCAGGCTCTGCCACATTGTCCCTAAACTACTCATTTCTCTATAATTTCTAATTCTTAAAAATTTGTTTCCTGTTTTTCCTCATGTGTTTTATTGATCATGTCCACCAAAACAGCTTTATCGTGTTAGCTACTATATAATTTCATATGCATAAGACAGATACCAATATGTACTCAAGTGGCTTTTAGACATAAAGCAAAGAGAACTAGCTTACAATTCACAATCCCAGAGAACCTATACAATAATGAGGACCCTAAGAGAGACATACATGGATCTAATCTACATGGGAAGTAGAAAAAGGTAAGATCTCCTGAGTAAATTGGGGGCATGGGGGCCATGGCAGAGGGCTGAAGGGGAGGGGAGAGGAAGGAAGGAGAGCGGAGAAAAATGTATAGATCAATAAAGTCAATTAAAAAATGTAAAAAAAAAAGATGAACTATAGGAGGATTTCTGGTGGTTAGATAAAAGCCAGCATTTCTCAAAAATTTGTGAAATGGACTCCTATCTGCCAAAAGGAGTCATTTCCCTTACTTCTGGCAGAAGGAACATATGGCTACTTGTGGTTTCATATCAAAGCCCATGCCAGCCTCCAGGCACCAGCCATCCCTACTCACAAATACTGTTATGCAATTCAAATCCACAATGGTCTCCTGGCCCTTCCCTCCTTGAAGCTACTCCCCTCTTTGTAATCTGCTATCCTCCACAACTTCCAAGCTGACTTTATCTCTTGCTTTCCTCCCCTTCCCATATTCTCTCTCTCTCTTGCTATCTCTCCCTCCCCTCTTGCTATCTTCGGCTCTCTTGCTATCCTGTCTCCTGCTATCTCCACTGCTCTCCCCAGCTACTCTGTCTCCTGC